TTAGATTCCTGGCATTCCATATTCTGGGGATTTGCCTCCCCTCCGTTGTCTCAAGAATGTAAGACCCGTCACTGAGAGCTTTGATAACCTTGTACGGTCCTTCCCATGTAGGACCTAGTTTTCCCTGCGGTTGGGCATGACTTGCCTCATTTCTTCTTAGGACTTAATCTCCTATCTTGAAAGCTTTCTCTTTGACTCTCTGGTTGTAGTATCTTTCCACGACATTTTTGTAAGCCGCTTGGCGGATGTTCGATTGCTCACACCTTTCCTCGATGAGGGTCCAAGCTTAACCTCAAGTCATTATCATTGTTTGCTTCTTCGAAATAGGTCGTACGAGGTGAGACGACTGCTAGCTCTACCAACAACATTGCTACTGTGCCGTAAGTTAGGCTAAAAGGCGTTTCCTTTGTGCTCGTTCTTGGTGTCGTTCTGTATGACCAAAGTACTCTTGGTAATCTTCAACCCAATTACCTTTGGCTCTCCCCAGGCTCTTTTGATTCCATTTACCAATGTTCCGTTGGACATTTCAGTTTGGCCGTTGGACTGGGGTCTGCCACTGATGTGAACCGATGTTCAATCCCTTTTTCAACGCACTAACTCTGGAATGGGTTTTCAGTGAACTGTAATCCGTTATCGTTGATTAGTATCTTGGGCGTTCCAAACCTTTTCATGATGTTTCCACATAAATTTGATTATTTGCCTTCCAGATATGCATTCTAGCAGTTCGGCCTCTATCCACTTGGTAAAATAGTCAACTGCGACTACGAGGAATTTCACTTTTCCGGGAGCGTCTGGGAATGGTCCGACAATGTCGATTCCCCACCGGTAAAAGGGGCCACAGGCTAGAAATGCCCGTTAGGGGTACTGAGGGGACCCCTTGGACTGGGGAATAAGTTTGGCATTCCACACATGTTTGCGTCACCTCCAACGCGTCTTGGTGTATGCTTGGCCAGTAAATGCCTATCCGAAGTATCTTCCCCGTGAGAGCCCTTGCTCCTTCATGTGCGCCAGATGGGTCGTCATGCGCCTCCTAGAGTTCTTCCTTGCCCTTGGCTTTATCTATGCACTTTAACCATGGCGTCATGAACCCTTTTCGGTATAGCACCCCTTCTATGATTCTGTATAGTGGTGCCTTAATTCTTACTTTCTTGGCTTCTTCATGACTATCTGGTAGGACGCCGTGCTACAGGTATTCAACGATTGGTTTCATCCAAGTGCGTCGTGCTGGTGTCAAGGTGTGCACATGTCGTTCGTTTATGCTTCTTTCCTTAAGTACCTCCACCAAAACCTTCTTGGATAGGTGGCCGAAGAATGTTGATGCCAGTTTGCTGAGGGCGTCTGCTCTTCTATTCTCTCCTCTTGGAATTTGCTTGATGGTAAAGTTCGTGATAGGCTCGACGAGTCTCTAAACGACCTTTACATATGTCTTCATTCGCCTGTATCTTGCTTCAAACTCTCCATTTATCTGATTAGTTTCTAGCCTCGAATCCGTCAGGGTTGTCACTGTGTCCGCGACCATCTGTCTTTCCAATCATATGCCGACTAGCACGGCTTCGTACTTAGCCTCGTTGTTAGAGGTATGGAAATCGAAGCGGAGGGCGTAGGTTATTTCTTCCCTGTCTGGTCTTGTTAGGATCAAGCCCGCCCCCGATCCCTCTTTGATAGACGCCCCGCCGGTGTATAGGGTCCATTCCTGGCTGCCCTTTGGCCGATCTGAGCTTGATAATTCTTCCCCACGAGTGGCTGTTTTTACTTCCCATGGGATCTCAAGGAGGAAATATGCTAACGCTTGCCCTTGGATGCTGGTACGTGGGCGGTAGCTGATGTCATGTTCCCCTAATTTGATTGCCCATTTTTCCAGGTGTCCGGATGTTTCTGGCTTTAGTAATATCTGTTTGATCGGGCAGTTTGTTAATACCTCTATCTGGTGTGCTTGGAAGTACCGCCTTAATCGTCGTGTTGCATAGATGAGTGCGAGCACCAGTCTTTCGAGGAAAAGGTAGTTGATCTCTGGTCCTTGTAAGGCTCGACTGACAAAATAGACCAGCGTTTTCCTTCCTTCACTTTCCACTACCAACACCGAGGAGATGGCTTCATTCGACGCTGAGAGGTATACTTGTATTGTTTCACCTGGGATGGGGCTGGCTAGTGTGGGTAATTTGTGTAGGGCTTCCTTGATCTGGTAGAGCGTTGTTTCTGTTATTGATGTCCATTGGAAGTTGCTCTTCTCAATGCATCCCTTGAGAGTATGGAAGAGTGGCATGGATTTTTCTGCCGACTTGGAAATGAAACGGCTTAGAGCGGTTAGTTTACCATTCATCCCTTGAGAGTCTCTCAGGGTGTGCGGGGATGACACGTCCATCAACTCGTCCACTTTAGTCGGACTGGGTTGGATTCCTTCTTTGGTGACATTGTATCTCAAGAATTTCTCTTCTTCGACACCAAAGGTGTACTTCCTAGGGTTCAACTTCATCTTGACCTTCTCTAGTGTTCTGAGTGTTTCTTCCACGTCTTCCGGTAATCTCTTTTCGTCTAGGCTTTTTATGACCATGTCGTCGACGTATACCTCAATGTTTCTTCCGATCTGTTTGCCGAAGATGGAGTCAACGAGACGCTGGTAGGTCGCACCTGCGTTCTTCAGACCGAACGACATTTTGGTGTAGCAGAACGCACCATGGTCCATATAAAAGACTATCTTTTCCTCGTCTTCCTTATTCATCAAAATCTGGTGGTACCCTTTATACGCGTCTAGAAAACATTTTAGTCTAAATCCTTATAGGGATTCTACCTTTTGATCAATCTCTGGTAGGGGTAGCAGTCTTTGGGACAAGCTTTGTTCAAGTCGGAATAGTCAATGCACATATGCCATGTGCCATCATGTTTTTTTGACCACGAGGGGGTTTGCGATCCGGGTTGGGAAGATTGCCTCTCGGAGTATTCCTTCTTTGGTTAGCTTGGAAACCTTGACATTGATTTCCTTGTTCCTGTCTCCCCCCTTAACTCGCTTTTTCTGCTTGTCCTCCTTCGCGCCCGGTTTAATCATGAGTATGTGGTCTATGACTTCTCTGTCTACTCCCACCATATCAGTGGGGGTCCAGGCGAAGACATGCTTGTATTTCTTTAAGAGAATGATCAACGCGTGTCTTGTTGTCGGGGGAAGGATGCCCCCTATGTTGACCGGTTGATCCAGGTTTTCTCTGTTGATGATCTCACTTCTGCTTATTGGCTCTGCTGGTGATCTTTTACTTTCCCGTGTGATCTCTCTCAGATGCATGATCTTGTAGCATCACAGTTCTTTTGGCGGCGTTGCCAGGACCATTCTTAATCCTTCCTTTGTACTGAATTTCCATATTTCATGCATTGTTGATGAGATTGCTCCGAATTTAAGTAGGGTCGTTCGCCAGAGAATGATATTGTGCTCCACTGGGTGTCGGGTTACAACGAAATCTAGGAGGGTTGTCTTCTTTTTTTCCTTGTCGTGGCTGGTCAGCGTGAATGACAAGTGGATCGTACCTAAGGGCCATAGGTTGTGTTTTGTGAAGCCTGCTAGTCGTCCCGTTGTAGGTTTGAGGCTCTCCTTCCGCCTATCTAGGAGGAGACGGAAACAATATTCGTAGATAATATCTTCTAAACTTCCGGTATCGATGTATAGTCGGTGAATAGTGATGTCTTTGATGGACCCTTGAATTATGAGAAGGTCATCTCCTCGCTAACCTGTAGGTTGGGGGTCTTTTGCTGAGAACGTTAAGCCTTGCATGGATTTCACGAGGCTGTCTACCCTACTGCACTCTTCCTGCCTCTCTCTTTTGGATCAGATCATCTGGATCTCGTGGGATTGGTCACGCTCTTTGGCCGCATCCTTAGCATTTTCGACATTGAACTTGGCACAGAGGCTCCACGCTACTTCTATTAGGTTCCCCTTTGGTTGTTTCTCCTTCATTTCCCTTTTTAATACTAAACATTTTAATACTAAACAGTTGATAGTGTTGTGTGTCTTACTTTTGTTTTGCTCGCAGTACCTTCCTTTTGCTCCTTTCACCAGTTGTCTGTCGGAGACTGCCTCTCCTATCATCTCTTTGGAATGGCCTAAAACATCCTTGTGGGCATTTACAGCGTCCGAAGTGCCTGCTACCGCCCGAAGTTTCCGGGTGGTACGACGACAGGTTGTGATGCTTTGTGACTGAGGCGGTCATGGCATTCAAGTATGCTTGCTTGATTGCCTCCCCTTCTTTTTGTCTTAGGTAACGCTCCACCTTCTCCTTTAGTTCAGCCCATGTCTGGGGTTTATTCCCCATGAGCTTCTGGGACAGTGGTCCCGGGAGAAGGCCCCATGTAAAGGCGCCTGCTATTAATCCTTCATTGTGCCCTGGAACATCTAATGTGGCATTAGGAAACCTGGTGAACTACTCTCCCACCGTCACCCCTTCCTTCTGCTTGCAACCAATGATCGAGTGTGAATCTCCTTTGTATTTACGCAGTTACATGAAATTTGTCAGGAAAATGTACTTTAACTGGCCGAAATTATAAATGCTTTCAGGGCGTAACGTTTTGAACCATGTTCCTACATTGCTGTATAAGGTTGTCGGGAAATACGTACATCAAAATCGCTCGTCAAATTTTAACGAGGTTATTGTCCATTTATAAGTGTCGATGTGACTATTTGGGTTTGTGGTTTCATTATAGGTCTTAAGGTGTGGTAGTTTTGCTGTATTTGGGATTTCGTAGTCTAGGAGTTTCTTAGCGAACGGAGATGTCACGCTTCGCGATAAACAATCTTGGTTTGAGATGGAGAAAGCGCCCTGGGGTTGAATTGCTGAGCGGTAAGGTATGGTTGTACTAACATGTTATTGTACGCTGAAAGGTGCCCTGAAGTTAGGCCATAAAAGCTTTGCTGATGGAATGGGAAGGTCAGTGGTTGGGTTGTTAGGAGTGGCGGGTTAGGTGCGAACAAGTGGTTTGACGTGAAAGAGGGATGTTTTGGGATTGTTGTGTTGAAGGGTATGTTTGTCACAAACGGGGATGTTTGGAAAACCGTCGTTTGTTCTCTCGTGATCTGGTTTAGTGGTGGTGCTTGTGGGATAACCAGCACGCCGCTGATGTTGTCCACCGTTGGTGGTGTCGTGCTGCTTGAGATCGTCGTCAGTTTTTGGGTTTGCGCGGAGGCGTTTTATGTCAACACGGCGGAGGAGGACGTCGGTCCTTCAGCGATTGACCTCCATAATTCACTCATTGGAGCATTAGTTATTGTTGAGCCATCTTGTTGTGGTGTTTCACTGGTAACTGGTGTGAAGATGGGAGTGGTAATTGGTTCCAACGACATCATAGGCCTGATGGGGCTTGTCGGTGTCCCACTAGCTCCACCGGTGTCGCCGGATGCCATCTTCAGGTGTTGAGAGGTGTGCTTTTGGTTTGTTGTTCGTCACACTCCGGATGGCGCCAAATGATGCGACCTCGTCATTGGGCGTAGATCTCCGCTGCTTCTAGTTGTTCCGGGAGGAGACTCCTGGGAAAACACTCCGACAGCCAAGTTAGTGGATAGCTTTCTGGGTGAACTAGGAGAGAACAACTTACTTCTCTGGGTACATGGGTACAGGAGGAGGCCTTTTATATTGAGGCCTCCTACTAATCCATACGGGACAAGGGTGTCAGACCCGACATGATCGGGCGTGTTGATTGGGAAATCGTGCTCCTTGTTCTGTCAGAGCTAACGATTGGTTCAAGTGGTAATACGCTGAGCATCCTCTTCGTCGTCTGGAGCCGTTATGCTTTGTCGCGGAGTAGAAGGCGCCCCTGACGGGGCCGGATCTTCTCCGCGGGCGCCCTACGCTTAGGGGCGTCTGCGGGCACAAGGTTTCGTCGGGCTTGCTCTGTTAGGTGTGATCTGCCTTGGGGAATTCTCTGGTGCGTCTGAGCGCGACTCCTAACTTGTGTTGAGGGCACGCCATCAATATCCATCTAACGGGTTGTATCTTTTTCACCCATATATTTTTTTGTGTATAATAGATCCAAACTTTCTCTTTTGCTATATTTTGGGTCTGGTTTATATGGGTTGTAACTGTTAAAGGCCATTGTAACAAAGTAACTAATTTATTTTAATATTTGGGATTTTTCCACGGCTATTTTTTATAAACATCAAATGTTTGATAAAATCCCTCAATGACAAAGGTATCCTTGTAACACAGGATTCAAGTGGTTGATAATATGATTGATATAGAGCCAAAGGTATCGATCATTGAAACTTCTAAAAGTAATGACATTATATGCTAACAGCTGTTAGTTATGTAAATAAAATTGTAAATTTTGTTTATTTAAGCTGAAACTTCCTGTGAGGGGATTATCCACAAAGTCAATGCAAGTCAAAAAGATGGTTCTTGCATCACGTGGAGAGTTATGCAGCCCAATAAAACCATCATCATGTGGGAGTGGGTCCCAAAACAAGCCAATAATGTGCTGGACACAAGAACTTCATGAAGCATTCGTCGAGGCAGTTAACAAGTTGGGTGGAAGTGAAAGTATATTTTTTTTTGCTATATTTCCCACCTTGCTATATTTTGTCATGCGAATTCTTTTTGTAATTAACTTATTTTTAATCACAGGGGTACCCCCAAGGCCCAAGGGCATGTAAAAAGTTTGGTTGTGTGATTCATAGGGCACTTAGTTATCAGATCTATTGAAGAAAAACTTTCGATCCTCATTGTTTTTTGTTCATATTTTATGTATAAACAATTTGCAGACTCACCTGCTTCAGTAGACCTACCTGACTGACCAAAAAAAAAAATGGAACCACGGCAAAGCTCGTGATCACCACCCAATTTCTTATTATTTGAGGGCTAGATATTTTAACCCATAAGTGTGAGGATGAAATATAAATGAAGCTCTTTTGCAACTTTAAATTGCGTAATTGGGTGTTATTAATTGAAAGATGATGAGAAATTATTGACTATAAGCAAAAATTGAAGTATAAAGGAAACTCACGAATATTGTTAATTTTAGTTGTTGAGCCTTTTTCAAGTGTTGATCTTATCTAAAAGTTGGGCTTAGTCGATGGTTGCCTAGGGGCGGTTTGTTAGGGCCAGAAGGGGATGTGACCTACCTTGATTTTTTTGGTTAGAAGTAGTCCCTATACTTTAGTTTTATACATATTAGGTCCAAACATCGTGGGTACTTCTAGTGCTTAAGCCCACATAGTTTTTAATTCATAATACATTTTTGGAATGGAGAAGAAAGCTTTCATTCATAGAGGGAATCATAAATTTAAGGCGTTCAGATGGACTCTTTTGGAGTTTCATCACCAATTCGGTAATTCCACCAAAGGGAGAATCACCATTTGATTCATCAAATCATAATTGATGATCATAGTTTATGATACAATGGTATTGGGACACGTATTTTAGTCCCTTATTTTCATTTAATTGAAGAAAAACCATAACAGATTTGGTCCTTTAGGTGAGATTTGAGATTGAATTGTCATCAATGGTGTTTAACCATATCATCCTTTGGTCATTTAGGGTTTATTTATTTAAAAATCCAAAGTAGTTAATTATGAAACTAATCAATCATGGGTTTTGCATTTTTACTTGGAAGGTAAGAAAAGAGGCATGAGAAGCCCTCCAACTAAGTATCTAAGAGAGTTGCATAGGTCATAATTTCATAACTATGAGAGGCATCACCACCTGATCTCTCCCCTCTCCTTTTGTTCTTCGAACTTGAGCAATAGGCAAGAAAGACCGGTCTTTATTCGTAGGTTTGTCTAACAGCAACAATTCCTACTCTGTGTGGAAATCTATAGAGGTTACCTACTCATGGTAATTGTTCTCTGACATCCAAGGACGCCAACAGCCGAGGTAGTAATTCTTGAACCCCTCATGACTGTTTAGTATTTAATTTATTGTGTTCTAATTGTGTTGGGGTCAAGCCCAATGATTTGATTAGTCAAAGATATTATCATCCAGCTGCAACATAATGAAGCTGATGGCATCCATGTGTGTATATGTTAACGGCATCAACATGAACTTAAAGATCTACGGTATGGCTTCGGAATCTTAAGCGTCAAATATCCAATCCATGAACCTTCGTGATAAGGATTGGATCCATTCAAGTCCCGATAAAGTTTTCAGAGTTATAAAAGACTACCTGATTTTCAATCTTCAGGGATTGCATTGGCGGTATTAGACTAGGAACTCAATTATGTAATCTATGTGGTACCGAAGTGTATATATATATATATATATATATATATATATATATATATATATATATATATATATATATATATATATATATATATATATATATATAGAGGTAGGTTCAAATGTTTCTCACATCTATTGTGTGCTAGAATGCACCAATATGAATTTAGTATTAATTATATGTATATTAAATGCTATCCATACTTATAACTCATTTTTATGGAAACTAATTAAATTCGTCATTAATGTCAAAAATAATATTCTTTCAGAATGAATTCATATCTAGAAGAATGAGAGTGTATTCCAGTACAATACACTCTCGTTCTTCATATTCCATGCCACTTTATTGTATTTTAAGTGAGTGAGTCCTGAAACAAAATACAAACTCATATATAAAAACCTAGATGCGAATTCATTCTGAAAGAATGTTATTGCTGACTACTAGAATACACTCTCGTTCTTCATATTCCATGCAACTTTATTGTATTTAAAGTGAGTGAGTCCTGAAACAAAATACAAACTCATATATAAAAACCTAGATGCGAATTCATTCTAAAAGAATGTTATTGCTGACATTAATGACAGATTTAATTAGTTTCCATAAAAAGATAATTATAATTATGGATATCATTTAATATACATATAATTATGGAAATCATTTAATATCTATATTTATTTAATTAAATAATTATTTAATTTACTAAATTCCTATTGGTGCATTCTAGCACACAATAAATGTAAGAAACAAAATAACCTAGCCCTATATATATATATATATATATATATATATATATATATATATATATATATATATATATATATATATATATATATATATATATCTATATATCTATATATATATATATATATATATATATATATATATATATATTTGCCAATGTAATACAAGGAAAACGATTTTGGCCATATTCCATTATGGTATCAGAGCACGCATAATACTCTGATTACCCTAGCTGCTGCTTCTCCTAAACCTTCGATCGACAATCTCTCTTTGCTGCCTCTTCTTCTTTTCTGCCCGACTCGATCAACCATCTTCATTAGCGGTTGATCTTCTTCATCTTTTTCTCCTTAGAAATGGCTTCCTTACATCCTGTTGTTACCGTCACCAATATCCAGAACTTCATTCCCATCATTCTCGAGATGGATGACGACCAATACATGTCATGGGTTGAACTATTCAAGATTCATTGTCGTACTCATGAAGTTATTCATCATATTTTACCCGAGGAAGCTCCTACTCCTAAACCTGCAGATAAGGATAAGGAAAAGGCAGATGCAGTGGCTCTTTACAAACGATTGAATTCCATTGTTCTCCAATGGATTTATAGTACGGTTTCCAAAGATCTGTTAATCACCATTCTGAAACCCGATTCCACAGCCGCTCAGGCTTGGAAATCATTCGAAAATATTTTTATTGACAGCAAACCATCAAGAGCTCTATACCTAGAAAATAAGTTCAACAATGTCAAATTGGAATCCTTTTCTAATGTATCTTCTTATTGTCAATAACTTCAAACCTTGTTTGATCAACTCACTAATGTTGATGCACCGGTTACAAATGATCATCTAGTCCTTCGTTGATTAATGGCCTTGGAGATAAGTATGACGGTCTCGCCACCATGCTCCAACAGTCAACTTTTTTACCGGATTTCTATACATCCAGGTCGAAACTAATCTTGAAAGAAACTCGCAAGAACCACAACTCGAGTACCAGCACCAACCTTGTTGCACCTCCGGTCGACCACGCGAAGGCCTTGAACACACAGATCACCACCAACACTAGTGATCGTCGTCTCGAATAACAGCCGAACGACCAACGGTACTGCGGGATTGGTGGATGCGATCTACCTGATCAATCCGATTACAGCAACAGGGGGCGAGGTCGTGGTGGTCGAGGTCGGGGTCGAGGACGCTCCTACCAGCATAACTACTACCCACAACAACCACCATTCGGGTGGAATACATCTTGGCAGGTACCTCAATGGAATTTTCCACCTTCTCCATTCCCCACAGCCCCGACTCACAGACCACAAAACATAAATACATCCTTTGCAGGCATCCTTGGCGCTAATCCATTATACAACTACGTGGCCACCCACACTCCGTCCAACATTGAACATGCCATGCACAATATGACGTTTAACCCGAATCATAATTGGTATCTTGACTATGGCGCCACAAAC